ACTCATTCCTCGTTCTACAATCATTGACTCATTCCTCGTTCTGAATAATAAATGTTTCTCTTGCGTTCTTGAGATCCGAATTTCCATATTCATGATTTGGGTCAATCGGCAACATCATTTTCTCCACTGCTTGAGCAATTTGAAGTAAAGCAGGTTTTAAATAGCCGTTTGCAGTAACGCTACGCATTTTCAAATACTCCTTTAGTTCGGCAACAGTCATGTCCGAAACACGCTTATTCTCCTTATCCATACAATTAGACATTTTTCTCTTCGGTATATTACACTTACAGGAGTTAAAATATACCCACAAATACAAAAAAAAAACCTTTCAAATCGTCCTTATTTTGCGATATTTTCGCTTGTTTATATCGCGCACGTGTATACACTTTGAATAGCGGAGTGCGAAAGTTGTCCGAAAAAATGCAAATTTGGTCACGTGACAGCAGCATATTTTTCATCGCAGTAAACGTGGATTCTTTCAACATGTCATTTCTCATGATTAAAGGGCTTGTACTAAAACACGGAACACTAATCTGGAACACGACGGAATGCAGAAATTAATTTTTTTTGGGATCACTTTCTTTGGGAGCTTGGTAACCGCGCCTGTATGATGCAATATAGGAAGCCTGCACGCAGAAATTTTTTTTGGGATCACTTTCTTTGGGAGCTTGGTAACCGCGCCTGTATGATGCAATATAGGAAGCCTGCACAGCAGGAAATAGATTGCGGTCGAATTCTTTGACGCGACTTATACTTTATATTCACATTAATATCGCTGCGGTTTTGACGCATTATTCATTGGGTCTTTCCAAAAGCTTTGTACCCATAAATAAAATGTAATAAAAAGAGAACATATTGCAAATTTTTTTTATAAAATAGATCAAAATATACCATAAATATCGAAATATTGAATTTCGTTTTGAATATATGCTTGTATAAAGGTCATAAGTTCGTGCGTATTCGAAATATAGACACATAGAACACATTCAAATTATTCAATTAAGTAAAATTAACTATGAATTTATTTTAAAAGATTCCCTGTTTGTATTATATTGTGCACTTTGACTAATACTGTGCGAGTCGTGTGAGTGTATGTCACAGATAGTCTCGGTTGAAACGTGATGTTTATACTAGTCGACAAATATGCAAACCACACACTCGAATGCTTATTATATGCGCACTGATGTCTTTATCATGATTATCATGTTTTATATCAAAATTCAAAGATCAAAATTTGCCTGGGCGCAATGCAGAATGTCCTGTAAATAAGACACGTTTATAGATTTCGCATTATAAACTGTGTAAGCTGAGGGCGATGCACAAATTCAGTTGTAGTAACTTCTATATATACAGTATTTTACATTCGTACTTCAGCATTCAGTTTACTTCAGGCTATTATTGCCACACACGCTAAAGGTTAATGATAATTAATGGTATAATAGACTTTATATGGAGTACCTGCATAACCCCAAATTTACATCAAGTGCCCCAACAAATCCAAATATGTACCCTGAATGAAAGTCGCGGTTACCAAGCCTTCCACGGAAAGTGATCCCCAAAAAATTTCTGCCTGCGCACTGGCTAAGCTTTTGGGGGCGGTTACACTTTTTTGGCTGAGTTCCACCTCTGTGTAGTATATCCTCTGTGGTGAAGTCTAAAGCACCACCGAGTGAAGATGTGTCTACGTGTTGTGAATATAGTTTCAAAGCTTTTTCGACCGCAATTTTCAAACCGATGCTACAGATGGATGAGACCGTTGAATATGGCAACTCTATCCTCATCTGGCAAGGAGATATTTCCTCAAACAGTCAGAAGTATAGAGAGTTACTTCAAACAAAAGGAAATACAATTTCAACATGGTCACACAACTATAATAGCGAAATGTCCATTTTGTGCTACCATCTCGAGCAGGGAGTCGAGGACTTCAGCAGTTGAGAATCTGGGATCATTTAGTTTGTTTGTCAACAAAACAACTGGTAGTCATGTATGCAACAGTTGTGGCACATCAGGGACTTGGAAGCAACTTAAGGTATAATATCGGGGGTCTAGATCGTTACTAGGCTAGATCGATAAAGAAACTTAATAACCAGTGTAAAATTGGCACCATATTCAACTACACGTTCACCACCACGTTCAAAAACACATTCAAAAAATGCCAATGGCTAATTTCAATCACTCAAAACGACAAAACTATCAAAGCGCTATTTTCTCCCACATGAAACATCTTAATGCAGCAAAAAACGATAGAAATACGTAGAACGAATTTATCTTTAATTTGAGCTATTAAACTTATAGTTCCAAGCCGTATAAGGGCAAAAATTTCATTTTTTCATCAAAACATAAATTAAAACTGGATTTCTTAAATTAATTGAAAAAGTCGGGAATACAAAACTAATCGTACCTTAGCCTCTATTCTGTCCGATTTTTTCAAACTTCCATGTATTGTACAACTTTATATGTACTTTCCTACGATACTTCATTCATATTATGCACTTGAGCTTAAAGGCACAGTTCAGCCTGTTGAACGATGGTTTTTAAGGCGCATTTCAGCCCTTTTAATTGAAAAAAATAACTAGGAAAATCAATTAAGCATAATTCAAGATCACCAAACTTAATGTTTTTTAACATTTTTGTATCTGCGCGTAGCGCAGATATATTGCTATCGCGTCAGTCAGTAAAGTAAAGTAAAGTTAAGTTAGTAAGTTAAGTTGTTAACTCGTTAAGTCCGTCAGCCTTGTTTTGAAGACCTGTTCGCAGGCTAGAACAGCTTTAAAACAAGATGGCGTCTTTCGAAAAACTTTCAAGAGTAGTATTAGTAATCGTGGTATCAATAGACTTCATCCTGACTTTATTTTGATAAAATCTTCATCTATAGCAGTCTTGCACTGATATAACTCTTACAGTCAAACCGGATGTTCTGTTCCCATGAGTATTGCAACATTGCAATCAATCTTGCAATGTTGATTGCAAATTGTTCCGAGCAAATTACACGCAAGTATGCAACTGTCATTTTTTCAAGTTCCTATCACTCCCGTGTTGGGTCAAGAGAATAACAAATCAAAAGGACTAATATCTTGCCTACCACTTGACAAATTAAAGGTAAACTGGAATGTATAGAGAATATTTATACATGGTTGTGCGGAAATATGTAATTTATTTCGAGTGTTGAAGAGAATATTGCTAACGAGTGAGCGTAGCAAATTGCAAGTTGCTCCATTATGTGATTTAATAATCTAAATTTTTGAGTAATTAGGTCATGGACATATTGTAATTATTATGAGTATTTACTATTTTATCTTCGTATCAAACCAAATATATAGCATTGCGAGCTTTAATTGCCAATTGGTATTAAACTGTGCCAGTTTGAGAACATAATTATTATGTTTACATATTTAATTTAACTACCGCCAAATAAATCCCTCTTTGGCACTGAATTTTGCATGTTACTTAGTATTTTTGTATCACGTTATGATTAAAATGGACATATTTCTTGAATAATACTTTTAATCTGTCAAATAAGAGGAAAAATATTAGTCCTCATACTTTGTTTTGGATTTGTTTTGGGGTATCAAAGCCTTGGTATTTCCAGAGGGTATTAAAATACAAAATTAGCCTGTGACAGTATGCTCCTGATTTTACTTCATATTCGATTTGAACAACACAAGTTCTACAACAAAAACGTACACGATGTACTGTGCAAATATAAAACGTCATATTTATAGAATGATATTTGATTGACATGTTTACGCCACGCATTTCATACCGCACGGGTTTTCCCTGAGTTTTTATAATCAGGGCTTGCATTTCCGGCAATTGTTTTATGGTTGAATCTTCACGAAACAATTACAAATTTTAAATATAGACAAGCAAATTATATTTGCGTGTATATCTTGACTGTTATTTAATGGAGGCCTCTGAAACTTAGCTAAACTATAAAAACAAAGTATAGTATAAACGTAGCCCTGTTGTTTTAAATGTCAGAAACTATTATTAGCTCATGACTCCATGTACAGACGTCTAATCCCACGTCTTTGAATCCACACATTTTACAGCCTTAATTAATTATTTTCTTTAAATTGTTCTTAAAAGTAATGAACTGTATGAATAGCAGATATTTAGCTCCAGATAAAAAGAAACATTTTTGTATGATTGTAATCAGTTGTCGTGATTCGGGATATAAATGGTTCTCGTCCTCTTAATTTAGAAGTCACTGGTTAAATGTAAATATTATATCTGAAGCAGGCATATAATTTCAACTAGCACAATTTCGCACAATTGCTGTAAAAATGTGATTCCGAGAATGCAACATCAATGCAGTAAAGGCCTGATTCCACGAGCGTTTTTTCTCGGCGAAATGCGAAACATTTCTACTTACTGCGAAAGGGGACAAAGTGGGACAATTCAATACAATCGCTCATGTGCAACCAGCGTATTTCGCAGACACAAGTTCTCGTGACGAATTTCGCCGTCGTGGAATCAGGCCTTAAGGTCCAGATCGATTGGTCAAAAACATCATTTATAAATAATGTCTTATTACAAGGAGACAAAATGTACTTGCAAGCTCTGAATGATGGCTTTGTTGTCTTAGAACCTGCTGTCGAATTCTTATCTGTCGATAATTTACCTAAACTTGTCAGTGTTTCAAGTTGTATACAAACATGTTTCTTACAAGGTATGTGATTCTGTGATCGACACAAGTAATATACCACATGTAGTGCATGCAAAAACAACTACAACACCTGTGAATCCTTTTGATACACAAAATAATGATACTATAAACAGTCTGCCCACAGGCCTGAATATTAGCGGCCGGTCACGGACATTGTCCGGTACAATAATGTTATAGCGCATCTAAATATTTGGAAAATTTAAACTTGGATCAAAGTTATCGGTCAGTGAAAATCGAAAAATCGCGTCGCGTTGTCGAATCGCGTCCGGCATGTCTGGACCTTTAATGCGCAGATACATGTACGCGGTCGCGTACCTATTTTTTGTAAGTGTGTTTTACTTTTAAGTTAAGGTTACAGAACACCTTTGAGTGTTAATTTTGCCTAAAATTTTTTTATTGGTTTCAATGAAAGCATTAGACTAGTTCTAGATAAGCTCTGGATAATGGCTTTGGATAATGGCTTTGTTGTCTTAGAAACTGCCCAAAATATACCACTGATCGATTGGTCAAAAACAACATTTATAAATAATGTCTTATTACAAGGAGACAAAATGTACTTGCAAGCTCTGAATGATGGCTTTGTTGTCTTAGAACCTGCTGTCGAATTCTTATCTGTCGATAATTTACCTAAACTTGTTAGTGTTTCAAGTTGTATACAAACATGTTTCTTACAAGATATGTGATTCTGTGATCGACACAAGTAATATACCACATGTAGTGCATGCAAAAACAACTACAACACCTGTGAATCCTTTTGATACACAAAATAATGATACTATAAACAGTCTGCCCATGGTGGTAGGACAAAATAATAGCATTCTATACCCATTGTAGTAGAGTCCATTGAGGCAAAAAATATCATTGATCTGCCCATTGTGGTAGAGCCCATTCAAGGCAAATACTATAGATCTGCCCATTGTGCCAATGTGGTACAGCCCATTGAGGCAAAAACTATAGATCTGTCCATTGTGGTATCTAGAGCCCATTGAGGCAAAAACTATTGATCTGCCTGTGGTAGAGCCCATTGAGGCACCAACTATCAGCAATCTGCCCATTGCGATGGGGGCCCATTGAGGCACCAACTATCAGACTAGGGGTCAGCCAAGGGGGAGGGGGTCGTGGTATCCTAAATAGCTGATAAATATGGATCAAAATACCTATTATTATGGTCAAAATGTTACATAATACCTAAAGCAATCAGAAGCTGTATACCAGACCAAATACCCAAAATTAGTCATAACATTTAAAGTAAATATACAGTATACTCGAATTAAATACCATTAGATCCTATATACACAAAACCCTATGGCCGACCCTACAGACTGCTCTGCCCATTGTGGTGGAGCCCATTGAGGCACCAACTATCAGTGATCTGCCATTATGTGCAAAGGCAATGAGTTTATAGTGTTCCATTTCTAGATGTTTATAGCTTTAAACAAATGTGGAATGTTGCTAAATCAGGTTTAATATTAAAGATTCCTAGAGCAACCCAGTGTGGATTATTGTCTGCACATATATTGACTTACCAGCAATTACAAGTAATATTAAAAGCATTTCAACGGACTTTTTGTATAAGATCTGAGATATGTCCATTGTTAGCATAATATGAAATAATTCTAGTGGCCTACATATGGCTGTGTCACTACGATAATGCTCACAATTTCTTATTATATATTTTTTCAGTTCTGACTGAGTACAATCTTAATCATGTCACTGAATGGTGTCATCTGAAGCATATTAAACATAAATGTCAACAAATACATTTTGTCTACCCATCGGCAGATTGTTCGGTTGGTCTGTGATAGGGGAAGCCATGAAGGTGGCATTACATGTAAAACGATAATTGGAACAAAAACCGACTTTATAGTATTTTTATATAAACATTGTTCTGTATTCAGTGGCAAACTCACACATGTGATCACCAAGTTTATACTTTATAGTGCACTTTTTATAAGATGAGATGTAAGATACAATCAGGGACGCCGGAACTGGGGGGCAGGAAGGGCAGCCGCCCCCATTGCCCTTTACCAGGAGGGGCAAGGGGGGCAAAGGTGTCCTTTCAATTTAAAGGATTGCCTTGGCAAAATAGCGAATTGTCAGAAATGTTAGTGGAATTCTTTTACTAATTTGCTTCAGAAAACGCAAGAATTGCAGTCATCGAGCTTCATGAATAGCATAATCGCCTGGCGGAGAACCCCCTCACACCCCTATCATCCAATAAATAGAAAACATGATTAGGTGAAGTTCAACTCCCGATGTTTTGCAAACATCTCTTAGTATATATCAATTCAAAAGTGCCCTTTCACGAAAATCTGCCACCCTTGCCTTCACATCGTTCCGGCGTCCCTGATACAATTGTAGAAGGTAATTGATGTAGAACATGTGTAAGACATTAAATCATACATACAGTGAAAAAGTACATCCTGCATGTACATATCGGCAGCATTTTGCTTGCGATAGTAATTCCTAGTTACTGATTTTCAAACGAGTTGTGCTCCTGCGGGTTTTAACAAATTTTTCTCAAATTTTCACAGGACATAGCTAAATACGTCAGTTTCAAAATTGTGTTCGGCTTTTTTTTAATTTTGGATATTTTAGAAATAAAGAGCAATTCACTCAAACAATTGAGAAATATATTGCAGTCGTCAAAGAAATCGCCATATCAGCGGAACGACGAAATAAACAAAAATTTCCGAACACAATATGAACACCGTTTCGCACAGCCACAGGGAGGCATGAAATGAGAATGTATACTGCCCAACATTTTGACAACGACGTTTTCGCTTGATTTTTCACGAGTCGCTAGTTGATACCGAAGAACCTTTGTTTGAGATTGAATAACTAAGGGATGAAGAGTCATCACTAAATTTAATATTTCACCCATTATGAGTGTGTTTGTGGAAACTTACAAAACTCTCGATCACCCTCTCTTCACCCTTTGGGACGCGCTTTCCTCAGTTTCACACAAACCGGAAATGCTCCTGACGAAATTCTCATGCTAACTACTAACTACTGTACACGAAGGAAAAGTCCAAATTATATTTTGTTCATAATTTATCGAATGATAACTAACGCACAACTGAATACTGTTATTGAGCTAAGGAAGAGGGATATAATTCACCTTAGGAATTAAGGGCGTCTCTTCTATCATGAAAACACACAATTTCGAAAACAAAATTAATAAACATGAAACATTCAAACTTGCGTCCTATATTTCTTCTCATTTCTTCAAACAAAAATTACTTCAACGCTCATTGTGTGAAACGTGATTTTCCAAATATATGCTTTTGAAAATTGAAATATTGCGTATCCCACTCAGTGATCTCACTTCTGACAAACAGCCATATTTTTGAGATCAGTGAAGTCCACCCATGAACCATAATCACGCGCCTGCGATCATTGATGAACTTTAGACTTCGCTAACGCTTTCCTTTCCCCCGGTGTAAATAGCTGGGCGGAATTAGTACCCTCGCCCCGGGCTAACGCCCGGAACGGCTCATGGATTAAAAACCTATTGTATTTGACTAATGATCTTAACTATTTTGTTATAGTTTGGCGGCGGTGGAAATTCACAACCTCGACAGACAACCAACGTCTCGTTTGTAAATACATCATCCAATGCACAACAAAATGGAGATGATGAGGAGGAATGGGAATGAGCGAGGCCCTGCAGACCGGAAGAGAGTTTAGAGTTTGGGTACTTTAGGACTTTTGTCTGAAGTATCCACAGATACAGTATATGTTGTTGTTTATTTTCTAAAAACTATATCTGTTTTGTTTGAATAATTTCGCCTATCTATTTGTTTAAAGTTATATATGGTAGATTCTGTGGTATGAAGACTTGCAAAATGGTTGTTAATAGTTTGATGCATCCACTTTGTATCATACTGCATGAAAGAATAAAAATGGTTAAAATTATTTGTACCCAACAACTGGGACAAAACATGTTGGACAAGACTGAGATTTCGTAACTATAAGTATTGTATGAAACATTGTGTATATGTATACCAATTTATTAGCAAACTTTTTAGCAAGAAACTTAAAAGAGACAATGCTAAACTGTTTTTCATTTAACATACTAGCGGTTAAATCGAGGAATGCACATTTCGCTTTTATTAACACAAGTAATCAACCCAGTCTTATTTCGAGATCAGTGCATGGGAGGAGATTATTTCGACAGGTACCCTTGTTTGTGTTCTCAATCAATAAGACGCTGTTTACCATAGCAAGCCTAGTTCTCCGCTTAACGGGTATTTTTGTAATTGCACATACATGCACGTGTTGCTTTGGTATGATTTTGTGTGTGGTGATGGTTCTTACGTCATGCATTTTCCATACCGGTGTGATACCAAGTCATACACACTCTAAATGGTTCCTTTTGAATAATTCACAATTGGTATAATTTTTACAATTATGGTTTATCTATATAGTAAAATGTCTAGTTATATTATATATATATGACGAAGCAGTCGTATTGGTATACAGAATGCGATGTGTGGTTGTAGTTCTGAGTTATGGATTTGGTAGAGTATTATTGATAGTATTAATAGTTAATGTTGTCCATAACTATGTGTTGTCGCATGGTGATAAAGAAATATAAAGACAGTGGTTTCTGACTGTTCGTGTTAATGCTTTAAACTCTTTCCCGACAACCGGTTTCGTATTACATTTCGATACAATTTTTCTAATATAAATATCTCGGCGAGTATTTACCCCCCTATTAAATAAATGCCACCATTGAAATCCTCACAATATAACCTTTCGAACGGGGGTCAAGTGCCGTCAAAACATTACACAAACCGAAACAATCATATATTTATACTCACCGCTTCGCCAAACATTCAAACGAGAAAATTAGAAAAAGTTGAATATATTCTAAACTTTGGTGTCATTTCCTGAAAGGATATGTGTAAAATACTCTTTGTATTCAAGCGCTTTCGTGTAGAAAGTTTCGTATGTATACGCCGACTAGAAATATTTATTCTGAATTTTTCAAGGTATCGGGTTTTACTAGCACGCGCTTGTATTACGTAATACTTGGCCAATAAGGAGCTCCCTTTAGCCGGGATGACGTAAAACTCACGCGTATGGGTGCACTTTGACCTGTAGAATCCATTTCTGGCATTTCCAGAGTCACGCGATGCAAGCGTCGCATTGTTTTGACGGTTTTTCTTCGTATTTCCGGTTGGGATTAACGCATATTCGGAGCAGAAATACAAAATTCGGCACTAAATGTCGAATTTTAAAGATAGAAGCTTGAAAATAACACTATACGTGTTATTTTTAACTTCTTATTGCAGCAAGAACATCAGAATGAGCATACGTCTCAATGGAACGAAGTTATATTCGGCGAAAGGTATGTTTATGTTTATAATTTGTCAGTAATATTGCGTAATTTGATCATATTTATTCATATACGAGCTCGTTTGACTTTGAAAGCTCATAAATCGCTATAATGTTGCCATTCACTAAATCTATCGATAGGAATGAGTAGCTATCGTTACACTGAATCGAATGGTGGTATTTTGGTCCACGTAGCATTTACCGAACTGAAGATATGAACCGCAAAAATGATAAATCATGAGTGATTTGTTTAATAGGGACCTGTCGGGAAAGAGTTAAATAATTAAATAGATAAGCATGTGTGGTCGGCCGATCTGTATGGGTTTATAGGGCGCTTTCCATTTAACGGCCTGACCGGTCATACCCGAATTTTTGTCTGTATCAATGGAAAGATCTGGTCTATGTTTCTGAAATATCTAGCGAAAATGGACCTCATTCTAATTTTATCCAAATTTTCCGGTCAGATAGATTCGACGCCCAAACGTTTTGTGTTCCATTCAACAATTTGACCGTTCTGGCCTTGTTAATGGAAAACGCCCTATGATACCAAACGAGCCGAAAGCAAGTTAAATGTTTTGCTTTGTGGAAAACACCACATATATTTATTATTCCAAAGCTTTTGAGCCGTAAGCACGAATGTTCATCAGCGCTAATAATATAAAGTTACAAAGAACTTATCCGAGTGTAGCCTGTGTGAACTCTGTTATAGATTATTGGCAGGCTAATCCAAGTGGGGTTACTGTAAATCCCATATACAAGCTGCGCGCAATTGTCCAGCAGTCAGCACGACGAGAAAAACTCGCGCATTGAAAATAAGAATAAATCATGTTTTCTGTTGTCAGCAGTGTTGTTCACGATACCAATATTTTTGTTAGTGGAATTTGTTCTTGCATCTTGGCAAGTAAAATTCCATTCGTATACGTATAATCTACATCTATTCGTTCTACAGATCATGGACTCAGTCCACTTCTACAAACTATGGACTCAGTCCACCTTCTACGAATTATGGACTCAGTCAACGTTCTACAATCATGGACTCAGTTCACGTTCTACAATTATGGACTCAGTTCACGTTCTACAATCATGGACTCAATCCACGTTCTACAATCAAGGACTCAGTCCACGTTCTACATGAACTCAGTCCTCGTTCTACAATCATGGACTTAGTCCACGTTCTACAATCGTGGACTCGGTCCTCGTTGTACAATCATGGATTCAGTCGTCGTTCTACAATCATGGACTCAGTCCTTGTTCTGCAATCATGGACTCAGTCCTTGTTCTGCAATCATGGACTCAGTCCTCGTTCTACAATCATGGATTCAGTCCTCGTTCTACAATCATGGACTCAGTCCTTGTTCTACAATCATGGACTCAGTCCTCGTTCTACAATCATGGATTCAGTCGTCGTTCTACAATCATGGACTCAGTCGTCGTTCTGCAATCATGGACTCATTCCTCGTTCTACAATCATGGACTCAGTCCTCGTTCTGCAATCATGGACTCATTCCTCGTTCTACAATCATGGACTCATTCCTCGTTCTACAATCATGGACTCAGTCCTTGTTCTACAATCATGGACTCATTCCTCGTTCTACAATCATGGACTCAGTCCTCGTTCTACAATCATGGACTCAGTCCTCGTTCTACAATCATGGACTCAGTCCTCGTTCTACAATCATGGACTCAGTCCTCGTTCTGCAATCATGGACTCATTCCTCGTTCTGCAATCATGGACTCATTCCTCGTTCTACAATCATGGACTCATTCCTCGTTCTGCAATCATGGACTCATTCCTCGTTCTACAATCATGGACTCATTCCTCGTTCTACAATCATGGACTCAGTCCTCGTTCTACAATCATGGACTCAGTCCTTGTTCTACAATCATGGACTCAGTCCTCGTTCTACAATCATGGACTCAGTCCTCGTTCTACAATCATGGACTCAGTCCTCGTTCTACAATCATGGACTCAGTCCTCGTTCTACAATCATGGACTCAGTCCTCGTTCTACAATCATGGACTCATTCCTCGTTCTACAATCATGGACTCATTCCTCGTTCTACAATCATGGACTCATTCCTCGTTCTACAATCATGGACTCATTCCTCGTTCTACAATCATGGACTCAGTCCTCGTTCTACAATCATGGACTCAGTCCTTGTTCTACAATCATGGACTCAGTCCTCGTTCTACAATCATGGACTCAGTCCTCGTTCTACAATCATGGACTCATTCCTCGTTCTGCAATCATGGACTCAGTCCTCGTTCTACAATCATGGACTCATTCCTCGTTCTGCAATCATGGACTCAGTCCTTGTTCTACAATCATGGACTCAGTCCTCGTTCTACAATCATGGACTCAGTCCTCGTTCTACAATCATGGACTCATTCCTCGTTCTGCAATCATGGACTCAGTCCTTGTTCTACAATCATGGACTCAGTCCTCGTTCTGCAATCATGGACTCATTCCTCGTTCTGCAATCATGGACTCATTCCTCGTTCTACAATCATGGACTCATTCCTCGTTCTGCAATCATGGACTCAGTCCTTGTTCTACAATCATGGACTCAGTCCTTGTTCTACAATCATGGACTCAGTCCTCGTTCTACAATCATGGACTCAGTCCTTGTTCTACAATCATGGACTCAGTCCTCGTTCTACAATCATGGACTCATTCCTCGTTCTACAATCATGGACTCAGTCCTTGTTCTACAATCATGGACTCAGTCCTCGTTCTACAATCATGGACTCATTCCTCGGTCTACAATCATGGACTCATTCCTCGTTCTACAATCATGGACTCATTCCTCGTTCTACAATCATGGACTCAGTCCTCGTTCTACAATCATGGACTCAGTCCTTGTTCTGCAATCATGGACTCATTCCTGGTTCTACAATCGTGGACTCAGTCCTCGTTCTACAATCATGGACTCATCTCGTTCTGCAATCATGGACTCAGTCTGTTCTACAATCATGGACTCATTCCTCGTTCTACAATCATGGACTCAGTCCTTGTTCTGCAATCATGGACTCAGTCGTCGTTCTACAATCATGGACTCATTCCTCGTTCTACAATCATGGACTCATTCCTCGTTCTACAATCATGGACTCATTCCTCGTTTTACAATCATGGACTCAGTCCTTGTTCTGCAATCATGGACTCAGTCGTCGTTCTACAATCATGGACTCATTCCTCGTTCTACAATCATGGACTCAGTCGTCGTTCTACAATCATGGACTCATTCCTCGTTCTACAATCATGGACTCAGTCCTCGTTCTACAATCATGGACTCAGTCCTTGTTCTGCAATCATGGACTCAGTCGTCGTTCTACAATCATGGACTCATTCCTCGTTCTACAATCATGGACTCAGTCCTTGTTCTGCAATCATGGACTCAGTCCTTGTTCTGCAATCATGGACTCATTCCTCGTTCTACAATCATGGACTCATTCCTCGTTCTACAATCATGGACTCAGTCCTCGTTCTACAATCATGGACTCGTTCCTCGTTCTACAATCATGGACTCATTCCTCGTTCTACAATCATGGACTCAGTCGTCGTTCTGCAATCATGGACTCATTCCTCGTTCTACAATCATGGACTCAGTCGTCGTTCTACAATCATGGACTCAGTCGTCGTTCTACAATCATGGACTCATTCCTCGTTTAACAGCAGCAGCCAAATTGGTTCAAGGCATAACATTTGACATATTCAAGGACAAAATATCATGTGAAGAGCAGCGAGAAATCCTTTTGACGGACTTCTCAACAGTTTATATAGAAAATTTTGCTCGGCATTTTTCCATTTCAGCAGATGTCAAAAACTCACTTTTAGCCGGCCAGTACCATGATGAAATGGCAAAATTTGTACAGACTTTCAAATTTGAAAATGGCGAAACGGGGCGTTTTGTTTATGGGAAAGTTGCAACTATCAAACAAGGTAATAAAATTGACTTGGCCTACTCTGTGTACACCTTAGATTTCAAGCTGGCGCCTACTGTCAGAAGGCACAAATGGAACCATAAAAATAGGAATAAACATAGCCATAGGAATAAACATAAGAAGAAACACTGGCGATGCGGGTGTAAAAATAAACAACGAAACCTGTCCGCAAAAGAGAAAGATCATCTAGACAATTATTTCACGATCTTGGCAATCTCAAAACTTCGTTCAGCATATCATAAAAATCGTTAAGGCTCGTTTACACACTTTGACACTTGCAATTCTCGCTGCGATTCCTAAAAGTGCGATATTCTTTTTCTGATGGATGTGAACGAGTAGATGAGTAATGAATGTTCTGACTTGTGAATATGTGTACTCCGTATGGTGTATCCTTATCTGAACATTCACAACTCGTCCAGTCGTTCACATCCATCAGAAGTAGAAAATCGCACCTGAAATCGCAGTAAAAATTGCAGGTGTATTTTCATTTTTCCCTGGCAAATCAATAAATAAATGAAATTTCGTGTAATCTGCTTCAGACTCTTGCTCTTGTTTCTTAGTTGGTATAAAGCCTGTTGTCCATTCGAAGCATATCATAACCAAATTACGGCAACACTATATATACGGTACGTCACGATACGGTTTAGACTTTCAGGTGAATTTTCTAGTGGAAAACAGCAAAATTGGATGATAATTGCGTGGCCGGGAATGTCACTGGGTACGTGTAGAGGTGACGCCGCAAAACAAGTATTTTACATACTCTGAGAACGAGATTGTCGCGTAATTAATCCTCTCATAAAATCCTTTCAGTGTGTGTATGTATCAGTCTGAGATAAACATACGGTAATAAACTACTAAACCATCTTATAAAAATATAGTTTTTGCAAAAATGTGCTGTGTATCTGTCACGTGACGTGACATAAAAACAAAATATCAATCTAACAGTTCATTTCATTAGAGCTACAGTATCCTAGCCTACGGTGTAGACCCCAGCAGAAACCCAGTTTCACAATAGCTTTAGCACCGTGTTCTCGAATGAAATGGTACTTAAGGAGGCTCCCTACAGTTGCGTGCGGGATGTTCGCGGGACCAGTACGTGAACTATCCCACGCAACCGCATGATCAAAACAAAACAAAATATTTTTTTTTAAAAAAGCTATTTCTGAAAGGTTTCTAATGGGAAAAAGCGTTGAATAATACTTCGTTTTGAGTGCCAAATTACTTGCGAGTCTATACAGCAATTCTACATATGATACGAATACCACTAGACCAAAAAATAGCTACGAAACAATGTGTTTTAATGTTTTTAAAATATACATTGTCAACTGTAAAACATTTGCAAAATTGCATACAAACGGTTAAAAAGTTGTTTATTTCTCAAGAAAACGTTCACGTTTTTAGTCGTGTTTCTACAAGATTAAAGTGATTATATGTAAACAGAAAAATATTTCAGTTTCATAGCCTAATTGTTCATTTTTAGCAAAAAGTACAAAACCAAACATGAAACAAAAAAAAACACGTCCACCTGTTAGTAGGCTGTTACAGCTCATAGATTGAGTAAACGGCAGGATTCAATTAGCTTCAACCTTGTTTTCATCGATTTAATCCTTCACAATAATCCTTGGCTGTCCATAGCACTCAAATAAATCGAAAAGTTGACAAAAACAAAACAGTAAAAACAACATTGCGGCTCGATTTTGCTGAATGAAAACTCGTTCTGCGCCCGCGTACAATCTTTTACTAGTCAGCGACGCTTTTCAATAGGGGAATTTCTCGAGTTACACGCGAGGCTATTTTCTAACTTTATTTGCATTTTACTCATTAGTTTCGTCGGTGACCTATCTTCAAATTTTAACCACGAATTTATTTTGCGGTAAATTTTATAAATTTCAAATTTTAAAAAAATCTGTAGTGTGGAAATTTCGCAATAAATTTTTCGCTTTTAAAAAAATCACACACTACAGAATTTTTTTAAACTTTCACCACAGTTGCAGAGCATCATTCCTTATTGATATATGAAATAAAAAAGATAGGTCACCGACATCGTTTTTGAGATAGCGGCACATTTATGGGTTAAATTGGAAGGCTTTATGCTGTCGTCATGTTGCCATGGGAACATTGACATCGTCGAAATCTAGTTCGAAATATTCCTTAGGTGACCAATATTACCACCAAGTCGAAAAGAATTCGCGTTCTGCACGAATAAGCCTGTTTTACGGAATTGTTGCTTAAACAAGAATAACTGTAGGGAGCCACCTTAATGTCAATGTGCTTTGCTCGTCAATGGGAACTCTGCTTTCTTAGCCAGACTTATCCTCTCAGTTGGTTCGCCCTTATAAGATCAGTTAGAAATTGCCGGTGTCCCAGGATTTTCGCCCCCCCTACACTTTCGCCCCCCGGGGGGCGAAATTCCTAGGAATATCGCCCCCCCCAGGGGGGCGAAAATCCTAGGAATTTCGCCCCCCTTTAGGAAATTCGCCCCCCTTTAGAAACTTCACCTTTTCTTTAGGATTTTTGTTCAAAAGTTTGCCCTTCCTAACAGTTGCATGGGGTAATTGTTACATGGCTTCATTTGAAATCAGTATCAATTCAAAATTGTTAAGACAGAGCTTGAAATAACAACCGATCACCGATCAATGATCGGCAAGGAATTGCTTATGAGCGGCGGAAAAGCATGGTTTTGGTTTCCAACCTGAAAAAAGCAAGGAAAGTCATAACTGCCGATCACTATGATCGGGAACTTTGGGAATATTATTTCAAGTCCTGTAAGAATACAAATTTACAATTATATGTATCGAAAGGGCTTACACAGTTACAGTGGATCAATAGGACTTATGACGCTTCACAGCACACCATGCATATTTTGCATTTTCAGTGTTAATCCTTAAACACATTGTTAAAAAGTAATCACCGTGGTGGTTATTGTAATCATTGGTATTGTTTTGCATCCACGTTTTGTCGTTATTGGAAAATGTGTGGCTTATAAGTTGTCACTATTTTTTACTTCAATATAGTTTGTAAATCTCAGAAGCGAAGGGTAGAACTTGCCAATAGGCAATACTCCAATAATATACGTTTCAAAAAAGACAAAAAAGCTTTTAGTTTTGCAGAGTTACATTCTCAAATGTTTAAGGCACTAATAAAATCAAAGTATCGTGAAATTATTTGAATAAACCACACCGCATATATAATGCAATCTTCTTTGTGGAAGTCAAGAATCAAGATTACATCACTATTTACTGATTTGGAAAGTTGATGATTCAACGGACAATAGTCAATACGCTTCCCAACACATTCCATAGATTTTTTATTAATCCTATAGTTTATTGTTAGCAAGTGATTACTGTGGCGGCTATTGTTAACACTGGTATTGATAAAATTTGCAAGCGATTGTTTTTATAATATGTTATGTGAATTTAAACTGTCAGAAGAATACGACAACATGATTTTATGCGACACTAAAGACTCTGTGGGCATGCAAATGGTTCCACTTTAGTCTTTAGAGAATATGACACTAGTCTAAGTACCTCAAATGAGTTGTTATGCAGACTGTGCACACCACCAGCTGCTAAAGGCCTGATTTCACGGGCGCTTTTTCTCGGCGAAATGCGAAATATTTCGCCAGTTTCTTTTGAATTGTGAGCAATCAAGTAGAAATAATTTATTCGAGTAGTCGCAATTCAAAAGAAACAGGTGAAATATTTCGCATTTCGCCGAGAAAAAGCGCTCGTGGAGTCAGGCCTTAAGAAGCCTAAAATGTGTATGTAATTTTGTCTCCTTGTAATAAATAAATAAATCACGCAATAAATCTTTTCAACGTGCTATCGTTTTGTTTTTAGATCAAAAATTCAAAATTTATATGGGGGGGGCGAAATTCCTAAAGGGGGGCGATATTCCTAGGAGATTCGCCCCCCTGGGGGGCGATATTCCTAGGAGATTCGCCCCGGGGGGGCGAATATCCTAGGAATATCGCCCCCCTTTTGAGAGGGGGGGCGAATCTCCTGGGGGGGCGAATCTCCTGTGACACCGGCTT